GTACAGGGATTTGCAGAACGAGCCTAGGACCTCGCGGAACGAGCATAGGACCCCGCGGAACGGGTATAAGGATCAGCAGGACTCGCTTAGGAGCTCGCGGAACGAGCATAGGAACTCACGGAAAGAGCATAGGAGCTCGCGGAACGAGCATAGGAGCTCGCGGAACGAGCATATGAGCTCGCGGAACGAGTACAAGGATCAGCAGAGCTAGCTTAGGAGCTCGCGGAACGAGCACAGGAACCTGCGGAACGAGGAGGGCGAGCACGGAACGAGAACGAGGCGACCACGGAACGAGTTCAGCAAGCGTAGTGACTGCAGAGCGAGAGTGAGGCACCTTCGGAACGAGGTCAAGGTCGAGACAGGACAGAGTCCAGGGAACGAGTCGGAAACAGAGGGATTTGCGAGGCTTGGAGAACCAAGGACGAGGTCGGCGAGCCTGAGGCGTCGTTGCGAGATCACTCCCCGGCACGTCTCCCCTCCACTCTCATAGTACACCCCCGTCCACCCATGTCACCTCTAACCCGAAGCAACGGATCACCCCACCCCTCGAACATCATCGCGCCCGGGGGTATCCCACTCCCGAGCTACACACCGCGTGGGCCCATGGTCCACGTGTACAAGATTCTCTGGTGGGAGAGGGGCCCTCCGCTCGTGTGGTCGATGGTCGTCGTGGCGGCGCACCCGGAGCAGGAGGTGGTGCTTTATCGAATCGTGCACCACCTATGGTCAACAAGCGGCATGACGCACGCACCGGGAGCGTACGCGCCACCAGCGTGAATATGCGACGTTCTGTACGTATTGTATTCAATATCGAATGTACATAGTGTGGCAAATGCGTCAAAAACGCGCCTGTTCCGGACTTCAAGGCCACTGACTCAGAGGCCGGCATAGTGCGTACGACGTTGGAAATGCGCGCAAACGAAATGCTGCCCAACTTACCGGCTGTCAACTAAAAGGCATAAGATTCCGCCTTATGCCGTTCTATCTCGGCGGCGTGCCGAATGCAGTCTCCGCCGAGGTGCAGGCAGAGGCCTCGTGCGGCTTCCGCGCCAGCCCGGTCTTCGAAAATCAGCGCGGAAGGCCGTGCAGGCGCCGGGAGGCCGCGGGTGCTAGCAATCGAAGACCGTGATCCTCGAGTGCTCGCCGAGATGATCAGATCACAGGCCGTCTGAACGGCATGTGACTGGTTCTGATGGTGGCTGCGCGGCCTGTGGCTGCGCGGTTTGCCCATCACTTAAGCCTCCAGTCCATCAACCGGACTTCAACGTCTCTCCCCCACCCCGCACTCATGCCCGCTTCGTCGCGCCCATCCCCTCGCCGTCTTCCCGCCGTTCCTGTCGGCCCTCGCGCCCCCGCCTCCTTCAGGCCGTCCGCCTCGGCCGTTCCCGCCACCTCCGCGACGCCCTCGCCCTCTGACGCGCCCCACGCAATCCGTCCTGGCCCACGCGCCACGGCCTTCCATGCGACACCCCCCGCGCCCGTCCCTCCCGCAGCTGCGTGCACGGTCGACTCAAACCCGGCGGGGGCGGGTGTGCGTGGCCCTCGCCCCAAGCCCTGGCAGTCCAGCGGCGCGACGACCCCTCCGGCCGAGGCCTCCGCGGCCAGCACGGTCTTCTGTCCGGCCTTCACGGTCAGTCCGGCCTCTCTCGCACCTCCGGCCGTCGCCCGCGCCCTCCCTCCACCACCCCCTCCGTCGGTGCCGAGGCGACGCAGACCGGCGTGGATGACGCCTGCGTTGACGACCCTCCACCACCGCCGTACTCCGCCGCCTCCATCCCCGTTGTCGACCTGCCACAGCCCGTCTACAATAGACCAAGTGGCGCCATCGCAACGCCGTCGCGCTCCATCGGGCTGGAGGGTCTGTTTGAGCGGATTGACTGGATCATTGAGGACATGCAGCCGTGGTTCCCCGGACACGCCCAGCGCAGGGAGCTGCCCGCGAGCGAATGGTGAGTTTGCACTTTTGCGGCCTGTTCTTCTACTCACTTGTGGAAGGGCGAGCCCGGAGACGCTTATCAGGTCGGATGGAGTGGTTTTGACGGTGACGAAGCTCCTGTGGTCGCGATCGACGGGCCAGGTATTCTCTGGCTCATGCAGGTTGTGTCCGCGACGCCTGCGCAGGCAGAGGTCGTCCGAAGGTACGTGACGGACCTTTGTGAGCAGCACAGGCGTCGCTACCAGGTTGCCGTGGCGTAGACGTAGTGTAGTGTTTCAGCGCACGGGCATTAATGTATTTGAACTTTGCGCTTGGGAGTCCGTCTGGAAATCGATTGCGGTCTTTGTACGGTCTAACTGAAAGCGCATAAGGCCGTATTCATAACTACCCGTCGCGCCCTTGCGTCCTTCACCCGACGGTCGGCCGTCCAATGGTCTCACCTCACTGGGTTCGGCGAGGGAGCAGCTGCCACGTCACAATTTTGTTTGAATCACACGGTTGGCTTTGCCATCGCTGCTCTGCTCATCCCACGATGTCGCGACGTATCATACAGGCCGGAGTGAAGCCGCGGGCAAAGGTGATGCGCACGCGCGTTACCGAAACTCGACGAGGAAACGATATTCACTGGTGCCCGCAAGGTTTACAGGCGGAACGCAAATCGATGCACCCATCGCCGGGCCATCTGCCTCTGGGCCGTCCACGACCGGTCTGTCCTCGCAGCCACTTCCATCGGAACCAGCAGTCGACGACATTCCGAACTTCGACTTTGGGGACCCTGCAAACGCGCACCTACTTCCTGGGCATGCCCGAAAACGAGCGAAGACCAGGTTGGCCGGCTCGGTGCGTGTTATAGCTGGTCGTCCTTTCGCCGTGCTAATTTCTCGCAGACGCAGGCGGACTTTATGAGGGAATGGCTCCCGCATCGCGAGGACTTCCTTGAACGGCTTATTGATCTGGAAGCTCCACGCGAGAGGCGGCGGTGCGCCGAGTGCAACGCAGAATGGAGTCCTTGGAGATGCATTGACTGCATGGGCCAGCCGAGCTTTTGTACAGGGTGCTGGTCACTGAGCATAAGCGAGACTTCCTGCATCGGGTGGAGCGTTGGATTTCCGAAGACGGTCCGTTGCCAGCTGACCCCGAAGTCCAGGAGCCTGACGAGGCGTCCGAGTGGGAGGATGTGGAAAGCGATCTCTTTCCCGCAGAGCCCTCGAGGCAGCAAGGGCCTGTGCTTGGAGAGTGCGGTATGTACTTATAACGGGGTCGGAAATGATTCTGACTCCAATCAAGGATTTTTTCAGACAAGCTCATTGTACAATGTTGGCGCCCGCCTCTTTCTCGGACATGGAGGCGCACCGTGCCCGCTTTTCTCCCTGATTAGCAGGGAAGGGTTGTGTCACAAAATTACCGTAGTCGATGTTACAGGGGTCCACCATGTTCGAGTCACGTTCTGCCAGTGCTCGAAGCCCGACAGCAAACCGCGGCAGCTTCTCGCGCTCGGACTCTATCCGGCCTCCGTGCTTGCCCCCCGCACCGCCTTCACCTTCCGAGTACTTGACGACTTCTTGTTGGCCAACAAGATTTCTGGCATTGCGGCTCAAAGCTACTTCGAGCGACTGCGACGGCTTACCAGCAACGCCTTTCCGGCCCGTGTTCCTGTACGTTCCGCTGAACCTCCCATGTCATTTGTCTCACTTGCACCAGGATCGATACAGAGAGCTCTTGCGGACCAGTCGGCAGTGGCGGAATCTCAAATATCGCAAATGGCATGGATATGGCCACGGACGGGGCCCCGTAGGTCCCGGGGATCTTGCATTGGGATGTGTTGCGTGTCCGCGACCCGGTGTCAATCTGAAGGACGGCTGGGACCGGGAAGCCAACCAGTGAGTACGTCGCGTATTAAAAATCACCGTACTCACCATTGGAAGGTGGAAATACACACAGTCGTTCGTTATGGACGGTAATTTCAGCGCTGAGCATTTAAAAATGCGAAGCCCAAAAGAGGATGTGTCCCTTGCCGACGGTCATGGATTTATGGTAACGGAAGAGCCCTACAAATGCCACCTCAAAGAGGCCGTAGAGGTTCGAGAGGTGCGCATTCCATCGTTTGGAACACGCGCGCACTGACTTTGCGGAGAAATCGAGCTGTCATGCGCACCGGGCCGTCAACCAGGCTAATGCCGATCACCACGACATGGAGGCCACCGGTATCGGAGCAGTAGCATGCGCGAGGCATGGCTGTTTTGTTCCCCATGCAGTGGTCGATTTTCAAAAAGGCGAGCGGTGTGTGCCGCCCACCAGCGTACTCTTTCGCTTCTGACACGCCTTCGCTACCCAGGCAAATGAACATGGACTATGCACTCTCCCAGGCCTTTCAGTTCTACGCCGGCCTGCAGACCTTCATTCTGATGTATGACATCGCCTGTCAGTATAGCAAAAATGCTGTTCCTCGGTTTACGAAGGCTTCGAAGCATTTGACGTGGCCGCTAATGGGTTGATATTTTGGGGAATCGGCCTCTTCCACATCCACGGCCATCAGCGAGACTGCCTGCCCAAGTTTTCACCGGACTTTATTCCTGGGGCAGGTAACGTCGACGGTGAAATCATTGAGACTCTGTGGTCTCCGCTGAATCGGATCTCGGGAAGCACGCGCGCAATGTCGACTTCTCATCGCAAGGAGGTCATCGACGACCACATGAATGATTCAAACTGGAGAAAGACCGTAGGCATGGGTGGGTCAGATTCGCTCTATCCAGTATTCTGGCTAATATGGCCTCAGTAAAAATGCTTCTCAAACGATACGCACAGGCAACGCAACAGAAGCTCGCATATGCGGAGACGTTACGAAACCTGGAGGTGTCCAGTGATCCGGTGCGCCTCGCAGAGTGGAGGGGCTATGAGGCGAAGGCGCGCGCAGAACGGGTGGTGGACCTGAGAGTCATGGAGGTATATGAGGTTACGCAGGAGAAAGGTTGGACTGATCGATTATTGAGACATTCACCGCTAACCGCATGACAGCCCCAGGCAAACGCGACATCCAACTGGCCTTGGAGAAGGAGGAGGGAAGGCGGAAGGAGCAGAGCGGCCTCGCCTCTTGGCTCGCAGAAGGCGTCTCGCTACAGGAGCAGCAGTAAGTAGCACATGCCCGGTGATCAGCAACTATTGACAAGTGTAGACTTGCTGTGGCTTCGCTTGCGCGCCGCCATGCAAAGGACGCCCTCCTGACTTCGCAAATTCAGTTGGTGAGCAGACGAAACAGGCTTCAAAAGGCGGTGGATCGGTTCGCTGCGAGATCGAGCGCATTCCTGGAGGAGGAACAGGCCGACAAAGACGGGACAGAGGCCGATGAACGCGCGAATGGCGTCGGTACCTCATACGGGGGCGAAGAATGGGAAGACATTGATGACGACCCCGACGTGACCGATGAGATTGTGGTGGCTGAAGAAGCGGACGACGTCATTCACCCGGAAACAGTTCCACTCACGCTGCCTTCGATGCTTGGAAGGGAGACACTGCGCGAGCGAAGGTTGGAAGAAATTGGCGAGAGGGAGCTTCGGCTGCGGGAGGGACAGGCAAATGACGCACTTCATAGACTCAGAATGGCCATCGGCCTGAAATCCGCGGTCTTTCGCACGGACATCCGCGAGGCAGAAGGACGGCGGGCAGAGACGCGTGCTTGGACGCGAGCGCAGGGAATTGCGAAGGTGGTCATTGAGCATGCGCGCGTCTACACGTTGGCTAGAAACCCATGAAGCGGCTTGTCATGACGGAGTCTGAAGCAAAGGAGATGGAGAAGAGGTTCGAGGAGGAACGCAGCAATCGCAGCAATGCCGCAAAACTCAAAGGAGACCGTGCGCCTGGAGGCCCTCCGGCCTCTTCGTCGAGGCAGGCCGCAGCCCCGGACTCTTTCGCTCAATGGGTGCGGACTCTTCCCGACGTCATGCAGCGCTATCGCCCACTACACAAAGATGATCTGAGCGCAACAACACATCTGGTCGATAACTCTGAACGAAACTCACGGCATAAGGTGCTTTCCTGGATTTGGTCTGTGGATGTGCGGCTTGACACCGAGAATTCGGACTGGCTTGTGGAGAGTACGTTTTGACTGCGTCTTGCTCCCACCTGCTGACGGCCTTTCCAGTTCACCGAGTAAATTGGCTTCATGAGCGAGCAAGAAGCGATCGCTGGAATGAGCAGGTGGTGCTTGTAGGAGAGGAGATCATCAGGGAAAACCGCCCAGACGCTTGGGCCCTCTGAAGAGCAACAGAGAGTGCTTTGAGAGCGCCAAAGTAGCCAAACCGCCTCAACCAATCTCAACACAAGTGCCTCGGTCTCAAGAGGAATTGTTTGACAAAAGCAGCTTTTTATTTTTATTTATTCCTTGAAGTGCGTTTTCAACCGCCATTTGTCAGGGCAGCCCAGCATTGGGTTTCCCACTCAAAAAGCAATAATAAACTGGTTTGCGAGTGATAAAACCAACGTCCAATTCCTACTCATTAAGAGGTTGAGACTGCTAATCAAGAGCTCTCAAAGTGTGCATATTGCGCCCATAGCATGGTTATAAATGGATCATGATGCACTTCAGTAGGCAATGCGAGCGAACAGTTCATTGCGGTATTGACGGTGCATACAGTAATACATGATCACAACACGTAGCTATACAGGGTATACCACCAGCTCGTGGATATGAGAGCGATGTTAGTAATGCAGCTGGTGTTTGAGCCCAGTAAAAGCTACAGAGAGGCGGAGAGGACAGCGCAGGCATGGGCACAGAATGACAGTCCGAATACGACGTACATGATGTAGAGAACCTCGACGAAGATGATCGTACACGAAACGGAGCGCAGCGAGACGTACTGTGTTTCAGTTCCACCACCTGACGGACGTAGACAGGACGTAGACACCACCATGGCAAGACCTATTCAGTTTCAGGAATTATGCTCCATGTCAGACCGTCAGTTCACGCACCTGCACACTCCTCTACGCGGTCGACGGGGCCTCTGCATCCTCTTCACGCTCGTCAGGCTGGCCTGAGCCGCTTGCCGAGGCCGCCGCAGGCACGTCACTAGCCTTCGTGCCAGTGTTCTTCGGCGCCCACAGCTTGGAGATGCGCGAGATCGCGGCCGTAGGAATGCCACGGGTGACCGTAGGCTCAGCTGCCTCGTCGTCGTCGTCTACGCTCGTGCTCGAGATCCCTGCAAGCCTCCTGATAGGCACCATGTTGTGTCAGCACAGCGTCAGCAACAGGCTATGTGCTTACCGTATGGTGTTCGCCAACGTCTCGTCCATTGACTTGCAGAACCGAGCACAGCCCTCGTCGTACTTCGACGGGTCACTCGGGTCCGCACAGCGCCGCAGGTTGTCGATGCTGACCTTCAGACAATCGTGCCTACAAAGCACAGTTAGGCCGGCGCTATAAACAAATAATGTTCCTTACTCGGTGGCGTACGTCTTCTCGTCGAAGCTGACGGTGACGTTCACCTTGACGGCCTCGTCCAGCGCAACGATGATCTAATGCACAATGACTTGAATAGAGGCTTCAGTACCTAGGGTATCGTACTCACCGCAGAGCAGACCAGAGCTATCATGTTGCTCGACAGGGGCTGCTTGTTGATGTCGAACCGCGCGTGGTTCTCAGGCCGCATGGCCTCCCGATGAGCTCCAGACCACCACTGACGAGCTGCGACTTCAGCCACAGCCTCGTTGTGGAAGGGAGCGTCCAGGTTGGCCACCCACAGCTAATACATATCAGTAAGCCGTACCTAGACATTGGCACGCACACGCACCGAGGGATCCACCATCGGATCTGGCATCTCCAAGTTGCTGTGATGGAACACGAAGTCCTGCTTCAAGAACTTCACGAGAGCCTCGAGGTGACTCGCCGTCTTCTCGTTGTACGCAGCACTGCTGAGCTTCTTGCCGTCAGAGCCGTGTTGCGGCACCTTGAACGCGAGGAAGTTCTTCTCGACGACGCGCTTTGCCTTCTGCTTGACTTCCTGACGAAGTTGAGATGACACCTTCGCCACCTGACAATTTGCTCGATGCTCATGTCACCGCTGAGACATCATGAAGTGACGACTCACATAGTGGATCATCCTCCCGCGAGTCACTGTAGTATCCGCCCACGCCCTGTTGTACGCGGTCAAGAACTTTTCGGTCTTGTACCTCTCGTGCTTCTCCATGAGCATCTTCATGATCTCCACGGGCTTCTCGGTCTTCTCCATACGACCGTCCTTCATGACTCGAGGCCACGCGTTCTCCAAGCTGAGGTACACGCGGAACTCCTGCTGGGCGTGGTGCAGGAAGCTCTTCAACGGCTCCTGCGTCATCGTCTCGAGCACGTTGTTGTCGACGTCGATGACCTTCTTAGGCCGGCCGACCTTGCGCTTGCCCTTGCTCTGGGCTTTCTCTTTCTTCTTCTGCTGAGGCTTGTCCTTGACCTTGACGACGATCTAGGCCAAACATCAGTCAAACGCCGCCTTCCAAGCCACAGTCTCACCTCGTCATCCATGTCCACATCGCCATCAAGCTCGTCAACGTCCTCCTCTCGGTCGTGACTCGACACCTTGTACTCGCTGCCATCGTCGTCAGAGTCATCCGGGACGTGGATGGGGGACATCGACTCCATCTTGACGCGACGAGTACGCCTTGCTGCACCCTTTCCTGCTCTGGATGGCGAACCTGCTGTCACAGATATCAGTCATCAGCGTGAGTTGTAAGACACACCAGTGGCTCACCGCCCTGTCCAGAACCTTCCTCGTCCTCGTCCTCGTCCTCGTCCTCGTCATCGTCCTCATTCTCCTCGTCACTGTCCTCCAGACGCAGGAAAGTCTTCTTCTCCGGAGGCTTCGCAACGCCCTGCATCTGCTTGGCTGATTTTGTACCTGAGGAATTAGTAAAATACGCGACTCTTTGAGCGACTTACCAAGGGATGCAGCCAGGTCCTCCTCCTGCCTGGGCGCCTTCGAGCGCAACACCGGGGGCGAGGACTGGATGACCACCTCCGGTATGACAACACGCTTGCGTCCAGGCGACACCTCTGCGAGGTATGCGTCAAAACAGGACCGTATGCTCCGAAGAACATGACGCTCACCAGACGTCTGACCTCCTCTTGCGCTCGTCGACGCGGCGTCGGCTGCCGATGCGTCCTGACCAGCTGGCTTACTTGCCAGCTGGGTCTTCGCCTTCTTCTTCTCGGGCTGCTCCACGCTCGCCTCGTCATCGCTCGCCTCCTTCTCGGGGGTCTCAGTCGCCTTCCTCTTGCGTGGGCGAGGCTTGGGCCTAGGCGGGATGGATCTAACGCACAATGAGCTCGCCACTCACTAGTTGTGCGTTTACTCACCGTTCGCTTTCTTCTTGCCCTTGCTCGCCGATGTGACCAGCTCTCCTTCGTCATCCTCCGACTCCTTCTCTGTATCCGACGCCTTTTCCTTGGCGACTAAGGCGTCGTTGTCGTCCTTGATCTCTGTGGCACAATGCGCTAGTAGTATGCTGATACACAGTGTGAATCACGATACTACGTACTTTGTCGACGATCCTTCTCAGAGACTCCATCCTTCTCCGCGACGGTGTCGAGTTTGCGAACCATCTCGTCGAGCTTCTTGTTTGAGAGGTTTGGATACTTCCCTCTCAGCACTTCCTTCATGTCGGGGGCCGCCTTCACATCATCTTGTATGCTGCCCGATGGACCACGGGCGCTGGCTGCCGATTTGGCCTTACCGCGAGTCGACTTGACGGGGGGCTTTGCGCTCCCCCCACCAACCTTCGCCTTCGCTGCTGCTGCGGCTTTCGACCTAGTATCGCGCGGCGACATAGTGAGAGACGTGACAACGAAGAGTCGGCGGCCGCACCGATAAGTGAACCTTGAGACTCCGAGTCCGCCGCAAGCGCACAGAAGCGCACATGGTATGAACTCCGGCATTTCTCACCCTATCAACGGTTGATCGCGGGTGTCAGAAACTCATTTAGGGTGGAACGCATATGGATTAAGCAGAATACAACTCGTAGTACTACATGAAATGTGCATTACCTTCCCAGCCATTTCGCCCTCCGTCAGTCCACTTCTCAATCTCCTTGTCCGTGTGCAGAACAATTGACGCGCGACGACCAGTGAAATGTAAGTTATAGTGAGTCAAACGATACGAAGGAAAAGCAGTGAAATCGCCGTTACGGAGCGGAAGAACCAAGCCGGCCTCGTAGAGGCATAGGTCCCGCCTTCAAAGTCGCCGACGGCGAGGACAACGCAGAGGGACTTGTCCTTACGATCCCTGTGGGCCATGGTTGCGACATTCAAG